CAGAGTCCTCGTCCGCAGCTCCTGCTGCGAGCAAGCCAAAGGGGCAGCCGCAGCGCCCTCCTCTTCCGCAGCGCCCACCTGCCCCCAGGCCTGCAGCTCTGCCGCAACAGATGCCGCAGATGCCGATGCAACCGCCGCCGCAGCCATTATACACTGCAGGTCTGCAGCCATGGCAGTTTCCACTGGCTCCGGCTGCGGACGCATGGTATACTGCCGCAGTGTTGGAGCAGGCACAGCAAGCGGCGGCTCGTGCTGAGGCCGCAGCCCAGCGAGCGGAAAGAGCCGCCCTGCAAGCTGAGTTCTGTGCGACGAAGGCGACGCAGTTCCAAGCCTCGCCTCCGCCCAAGGCACAGAGTGCAGCCAGCGAGAGCTCGAAGGCCAGGACCCAAAGCTCGAAGGCCAGCCGGAGCGAAAGCTCGAAGGCCCCATCGAACGAAAGTTCCGACGAGGCCGGCCGGACCATGCATGCACGCAAGTTGCAATCACACGTGGCTTCGCCCGTGCGATTGCAAAAACAGCTGTGGCTTCGTCCTGGTGGCTTCTGTATGTAGATATATATATATATATAGCAATTCCAAAATAAATCTAAATCCTGCAGTTCTCTGAAAGGCCAGCTCTGACGACGAAAAGCAAAAGGAGGAGGTGAAGCTTGAGCCGCGGGCCAAGGCCAAACCCTAAACTTTCCTAAACTCGTAACTGTAAGCTCATGTATGTATATATATATATAGACATATGAACCATACACCCTAAACCTAGCCCTGAAGGCCCGCGAAGATCGACAGAAGGCTACCGACAGCGACACTGAAGAGGAGGACGCTGAAACCGGACCCTAAAACATAAAACTAAGTTTCAATCCTTAAACCCTGAAGGTCCCGGAAGCACCTAAAGATGCAAAAGAGGCTGTCGCAGCCAAAGTTGAAAAGGACAACACTGAGGCCGGACCCTAAACCTTAAAACTCATCTTCAATCCTTAAGCCCTCAAGGTCGCCGAAGCACCCGAAGACTCAAAGGAAGCTGCCGCAGCCAAAGTTGAAGAGGACGACGCTCAGGCCGAACCCTGAACCTTAAAACTATAATTTTCAATCCTTAAACCCTGAAGGTCGCCGAAGCACCCAAAGACTCAAAGGAGGCTGTCGCAGCCGGAGTTAAGAAAGAAGAACTTGAGGCCGGACCCTAAGCCTTAAAACTATACTTTTCAATCCTTATAAACCCTGAAGGTTGCCGATTTCGGCGAGGAGGAGGAGGAAACGCCGTTTCCGGCGACGGGGGCGGTGAGCATAAATTCGCCGACGAGTGACGCTGCAGCCCCCGCCACGCCGGACGAAGCTGAGCCTCCGGTGCCAATGGAGCTGCACTCCAAAAGCAAGCCGATGACCAAATCGCAGCAGCATCCCCCGTCGTGGCCGGCACCGCCTTTGAAGAAAGCCAGGTCCTAGGTTTCTGGCTGGTGTGAGCCTGCTTCGTGGCAATTGCCACGGCAGTAGCAGCAACCCTTGAATTAAAAGGGTGAGGCTTCGCCCACCTCTGCACGCACGCAGCTCGCTTGCAATGGTCGCAGCACCAGGCATAAAAGTAGAGGGCTGAACTTTTTATGCATGCATGCATCACGCTGCATGTTCTGTGTGAGAGCCAGGACTTGGTGAATCGATCTTCTGAGCTCTTAGAAGGCTCTTGCAGTTCGGATGCAACATGCAAGCAGACACAAGCAGAAACCCTAAATCATAGACCCGCAAATGTAAACTTTAAACCTTAAACCGTGCAGAGCTTGCTATAATATCCAGATTTTAGGTCATGGCTTCATCTTTATATAAGCCTTGCAGAAGTAACCCAAAAATATCCAGACGTGAGGTCATGGCTTCGCCTGACCTATAGATGTCGTGGCTTCGCCCGCGCATGCCATGGATGCTACATAATTGTGGCGAATGGCTTTGAAGCGGCCTTTGCAAGCTGAGACATGTGGGCAGCGGCAGGGGAAGAAACTGCCGAGGGAAGTTTCATTCTCTACGCTTGCAGCCTTGCGAGGGAAGGATCCTGATAATGAGAGGAAAATGATTCGCGAAGGCTTGCGAAGACGGTTGCAGGAAGACAGCGGGCCTTGCGGCAGAGTGCTGGATTGTTTGACTGTGCCAATCGATGGTCAGCCATGGCAATGGC